CCTGTAAGCTGGTAAACCTGTTACAAAACATGTTCTGCAAATCAAAATCAAGTACAAACATGAATTCCCTTTTTTTCTTCACGAGCACACAGACACGTGTGTGTGCTCGTGTCTGTGTGCTCGTGTCTGTATTAACAAAAAAACAAAAAAACAACCACAAAAAAGCATTCCCATGTCATGTTTACAGAGCACTGGGTTCAGAGTTTTAAGGGAAAAGTGTGTATAAATAAACTAGCAAAGAAACAAAACCAGTTGAAGCTGAAATGGAGGTGAATGAGTTTAGACTTTGATAGAGCCATTTTTACTGTGTACAAAGGTCAAAAACATGTGGTAGATGGAGAGGAGGCAGTAACAGGAAGCAGGTGCCCAGGGTGTGTGTTTAAACTTTTTTAAATGTACCAGAAAGGTGAACTCTTTTTTTTTAGGAAAATAAAGAGAGAGGAGAGACCTACAAATTGTAGGAAAGAAGTAAAGGATTCTGTGTGTAGGATATTGTAGGTTTTCCAAGGATTGCCTGATCCTAAATATATGGACATGGTGACTGTGAGAGCTGTATTTTAGTGATACCTTCATGCACACAGATTAAAAGCTTTTCATCTGGATCCCATTTGAAAACCCAAAATAAGAAACAGTGAAAATGATAAACAAAAGTGACAGAGATCACTACTGGGTTGAAATACTGAAACAAAACAAATGAGTGGCAGTAAATTCCAGGTATTTAACGTGTAAAGTGATGTCACAGAAGTCACGTGAGCGACTTTCTTTGCATATAGCTGCTGATAATGACGCACCTTTATACCCTCGACGAGATAATAGGTCCACAGTGTAAGGAGCTGCGTTGGCATGGTCATATTTCTTCATTGTGCGAGATGAAAGATGAAATATTCAGTTTCAGAAATTTCTGAAGACCACACAGATCCTAGTTACTGAGGGAAGACTGAACACTTTTAAAACTTTTTACAGACAAGGTAACTGGCTGCACGGAGGTCAGTACATGATCCAAAAAACTAAAAAAAAGAAGAAGAAGAAGAAGAAAAAATAGGATGTGTCCATGCACTAAAATCTGTAGATCAAATCTGTAACTTTTTATAAAACTGTCTGTCATGCCATGCTTTTTTTTCTTGTTTCTACATTTAGATTGAATTGTACTGCAGAAAGTTTCATGATCAGCTTAACCCAAAAATGATTCCCACCTCCTGTTCTTCAAATGAATTGTTCTCCATGCACTGAATGAGTAATGTAGGGATGTGAATATACTATTACATCAATGCATTCCACCAATAGATCCTCAAACACCCTGTACTATGACAAGTTTTATGCCTACCTCTAAAAATGTCTTTTCTTTCCTTCTTTAATATCCTGTCTTCATGCTTTGCTGTTGAATGGTTGCATACATAAATTCTACATTACCTTGAAAACAATAAATTGTAAGACAGAAATAAGAGATGCTATAATATATATTCTTTGTAGTTGGCCTTTATAGCTCACACCACGAGAAATTTGAAGAAATTTAAGTAAACTTAGTGCCTAAACTGTTGCTTTAAAGCAGACACATTATTCTACAAACTATCTATATGTAGACAAGATGGAAACTATTAATTAAAGTTAAGTACACGGGCTTTTCCAGATTCTGAATATTCCCAGGAATGCTGGAAATGAATTACTGTTAATCGAAACAAGTCTGTTATTTGAATGAAATTATCTTATTTGGCGATAAGCGCCTGTATGCCCCTTGTTTACTGCTCTTTATGAGTTTGAAACTTGCTAAACTAACTGTTAATTGCTTTGAGCTCTGCAAGTAAACACTATGCTGTTGAGTGATTTGATGACCAAGACCGCCATCTAGTGGAAATATCTGCGAATTGCAGTGCTGCTGATTTGAGTCGATGCCTAAACATTAGATTTCATTTGTCGGTCGACACAAGACAGAACAAACCCATGCAGCTGGCACATGAAAAAGGTGTTCAGATACTAAGATCGTACACTTTTATGTTAATTTATGACTTGTTAGTATAATTAAATGCTCTAAAACTACTGAATATTATTCAGTTAAAAAATGATCTAAACCATAAAATAATGCATATTTGTGAAACCTAATATGCTTAAAATAAACAATTTAAACATTTTTATAAAGCTGTGTAGGAGTGAATATGGCTTGTGGCTCTTTTGTACTTTTTTATATCGATGAAATGAAAGTTGTTGCTAAATATATGCTATGTCATTTTTGGCAAAACGTTACATGATCCACTTTTAGTGGATGCTCATATTTAAATTAAAGTCCTACTAAAAAACGCACTGTATGTTTAAAAGGAGGTAAAAATTCATCCCCCTTACTGCCGAAACCCGGGATCGAACCAGGGACCTTTAGATCTTCAGTCTAACGCTCTCCCAACTGAGCTATTTCGGCGGTATGAGCCGCAGCATCGTATATCTATACCAAGTGGTTTCTACCTATGTGACACGTATGTAGTAAATATGTTTGTATATGAACTTCGTATTCTCTCCTAACAGCTGATAGTTGACGTAAGTAGATAGAGCCATAAAGCTATCTAAAGGACTCAGGTAACGGTAGAATTTCCCTTCAAGCCGCTAGACGTCATAGTCCTGAGCCACAGGGAGCCATAAAGAAGTACGAAAATAAAGGTTTTAATAATACCGCCACTGCTATTACAAAGACAGTGAAAAGAACGAAAAACGACGGAAAAGTTTCAGATAATGTTGCATTTCAGCTGTGATCAGTTACAATTGTTCCAACCTTTGGACACAAGATGGCGCCATTGGCGACCATAACATGCTGTTCCCGTTCATTATTATTATTATTATTATTATTATTATTATTATTATTATTATTATCACTGTTGTTGTTGTTGTTACTGCTATGCTGTCTATGGCTCGTGATAAGAAAATAGCTTCAAAATAAGACTGATATCCAGCATCGCAATGAGCTTATTCTGCTCATTTTGTTGGTCAAATCACCGTAGACTAGATGCATCATCAATTTGGGACTCTACTTCAATCAGGCCAAATAGATTTTTATTTACCTCAGACTGCTCAGCTGGGATGGGGTGGGATTTATATGAAATGAAGGCAATAAAAATAGTACATATTTACTAGGGAAAAAATAAATATATTTAACAAAATAATTGCAGCATATTTTACAGTTACTAGCATGCTGCATTCCATGTATCTGACATAGCACTGGATTATTTTTCTGCAATTTGTCCTTCACTGTCTTTTTTCTTCTAAAGCCCACATTTCATCATTCTTAAAGTGCTCCTGATACACATCCTACCAGATATTAATTACATTTACTCTTATACACATTAAAGAAGGCCTGTAGAAAAACTGTGTGAGACTTTGTCATAAAATTGCAGTCTGAAGCAGTATTATGGGACTCCTCTTGGCCTAAAGTAGAAAACCATAAAGCCTGCTAATCTTATCATTCTACACTTTTCTTTTTTTCTAACAGGGTTCTGCAGTGATGCAGTGCTGTCCCTTTATTAGTCATACAATATCACAATGCCAGTTTCTCTGCCTCCCGTCCCCTCTCTGTTTTCCCCCTAATCTCCCCTCCATTCTGCCTCTCATTCTCTCTCAATCTCTCTCTCCCATTTTTGTCCCTCTGTCATCCCTCAAGGTGACTTTCCTTCCTTCACAGACACTGCAGCTGTTCCTCGCTTTTGTTCTTGAAGGCCTGAGTGTGGATAAGAGATGAGAGAGATGCAGACCGGCAGAATAAAGAGAAGGAGAGCCAAAGAAGAAAATGGAAGTGCGAAAGAGGAGGGGGACTGATGAGATTATCAAGCAGGATGGAGGAATGTACAGTTTTGACTCACTGCTCAAATCAGTAAGGCAACAAACACAAGTGCATGCGTGACGTGCGCAGACCAATTTGTTCTGGTAAAATTAAAAATGAAGTGTCAACATCAAGCGATTGAGCCGCCTTGACAGATGCTTACCTGAATAACAGGTTTCATCCTCATTATTACTGGATATTAGCACAGTTGTCACATCAGACTGATGCATAGTGAGGGTTCACTACAGTCAGCACTAAATACTGCAAGTATCTGGGACGGAGTTTCTAAATTTAGGAATCAGAGAAACAGGGAGCGGAAACAGGAGATGTCAAAAGGGAGGAACAGCTGGGAAAAAAGAGACAGATTTGGGTAGTGGGGTCCAGAGAAAAAGGGATGGAGGAATTCCCAAGTTGTCCCAATGAATCCAAACAGTTCTCTGTTAAAACCGCAGATAACTGGGTGCAATTATGATAAAGACCAATCACATTATTCATGTCTTTCTTTCATTTGTCTTAAAAGCTTTTGCTCATAATTAAAGTGACGCAAATGTCATATTTTATTCTTCTCTTTACAGATCACATCCTTGTCAAATGTTAAACAGTCTTGAGATTTGAGAGAGATCACTTGAAGTGAAGGCTGTTTGACCTTTCAGTATACTTGTCCGCAATAATTCTGAATAATGATCGAGTCTGTCTGTAGTAAAGGTCTTCTTGGTTGTTCGGTTAGAAATCTGTATCATTTCTATATGATCTGCTCAGCTTTGTGTTCACATTTTCCGCTCCTAGCCAAGTATCTCTAACCAATAAAAAGTTTTCTTATATCAAATATTATAAACGGGCTACTATTTGTATGGTTAGTTTTGCGACAGAATGGCAGTCTGTCCGAGGTGTACCTCGCCTCTCGACCTACGACAGCTGGGATAGGCTCCTTTCCCCCCTACAGCTCATTCCTTAAGTGCTTTCTACCTATCACACTCCCTGTTGATGGATAAAGTAGGGTCATCCCGACTGCACTGACCTTTCAGCTGGTAGACAACCTGCACTACCTGCTGAGCCATAACCACTTTTAAAATGACTCGACGCAGACATGTGGGAAAACAGCTTCTCCTGTGTAACTAAATTGGCTAATAATAGCAGTTCAATATTTGAGTGTTGACAAAAACAAACACCTTGGACATGATATGAGTATTGAGTGACACAGATGGACTTTGATCACCTTTTTAATACAGATGCTGTTCTGCTCTATACAATGACACATATTATAAATCTTATACAATACTAATATTTCTCTATACACATGGTCATAAATGTACAGTACAGTGTACACACATACAGTATTAACACAAATTCACTTACATGTATCTTCTCTTTACAGTAACTTTCCAGCTCACCAAGAGTTTATAACAATGGCTGATTTTCTGTCCGGCAGATGATTGTGGCCAAAGTAAAAGATTTTATTATTATTATTATTTTTTGGACTAAACCCTAACTCAGACTCTTTATTATTTACATCCCTGAAAAAAATGTACATGAATACACAATAATTACTGCCTTCTGTCTGTCTCACAAATAGTGTAAAAGGGGTGAGGATGAAAGAGGAGATAGCCCAAAGCCCTCCAAAGGAGCACTCCAAGTCTTGAGTCCATACAAAGTTAAAAGTGTAGTCTAACTACTTAGTGGACATAAATCTTTACTCACTGCAACACCCATAATACAACAGTTGATTGAGGGCTGGCTTATTGTTTTGTTTTTTTTGTTTCATTTTGTTTTATTGGGTTTTTTTTTTTTTTGGTTGTTTTTTTTTTTTTTTTTGTCCAGCAAGTCTGGGAATTTGACATAAAGCCCTGAGGAGAAAAAGAGACACCAATATTGTGCAAAATGTCCAGGACTCAGTCCAGAGGCGGTCTGTCTCTGTGATCATTCAAACCCCTAACCAAAAGCAGTAACTCTGCTAGGCAGAGAAACAAACAGCTAACACAAAGAGATGTCTCACGTCTGCAGTGATTTCACCATCGTTCTGATCTCTCAAGTTCATCATGCTTGTTAACCTGCTGTGACTTGAGAGCCTTTTATTATTAAAATTTTCAGAAAATATTGCCCTTTAATTATTACTTTAAAAGTGAAGTTGATCCTTTTTCAGCAGTAATTTTAGCAGTTTCCTGCCATTTATACATAGTTACATATTCTCTATATCGTTCACTTTTATGTTCAGCAGCTTCCCCCCCCCCCGCCCTTTTGCCTTTCCGTTAAACATATGTTGAAAGCCAAAAGGTCTTTGTTCACACTCTCTTTGTTCACATCCTATGGGTCATTGCTTTGCTCATTTATTGCACATAATCAGTGACACACGCACACATTTCTTCATTTACACAACCACGCAGCTTTTGCAAACGCACATGCATACATGCACACTTGCAAACAAACGCTATCATACAAATATTCTCCATAACCGTGGTCATTAAAGTTCATTTTTCCTTAAAAACAAAACAAAAAAAATAAAATCTCATGCCTTTTAGCTTTTGCTTGCACACATTCTTCTAAAACATGGTGTTTATTGAAAATCAGGTCGAAATCAGTTTTTTGTCTTCTTCATTTTTTGCAGTTTCCTGGTTTAGTATGAGCCTGTAAACTTTGAATCTCAATGCTTGCATTTATCTGCGTTTGATTCTCTATATGCAAACAAGTTCACTCGAAGTTGATACATTGTTGTAAACATACAGCAGGACAATCAGCACCATAAGAATACTAATAACTCAATTAAGGCATGAACAAAATAAAGCAAAGAACGGGAAACAGAGACTTCCATTAATAATTTAGTTTTTGTCACTGAGAATATCTGTGCAGGTAGATATCGATGTGCTTTCACAGATAATGATTAAATATAGATCAATGTGCAATAATTGGATGAGTGTGTGTGTATCTACCTGTGCATATGTACATGCACATGCAAGTTGAAAGTGCACGCAGGAGCAACACTGTACTGTATGTATTCGCGGTTATCTATCCTTTACCCTACATTTGGGATGGATGTGAGTATTATTAGCAGTCATGGCTATGATGTTGTCATAAAAATATTTGACTAGTATTGCCACAGAGACACACTGGCCATCTTGTCAGTCAGAAAGTGGACTAATGACAGCCTTGGTAAGGAGAGCAGACTCTAATAGAGCTCATGTTTCTCCACATCTGTATGTAGCAAGAGGCCAAGAGACTTTCTCCTGACCTTTATAAGCTAGCTGGTTGTCAGTTTTCCTCACACCCCATGGATCATTACACTTCATCTATACAATCCATCTCCATTGTCTTGGTAAGATACATATAGTTCTTCAAATTCACACACATATTCATACATCCGCACTCTAAAGACCAGCCTCATTCCCTCACTGCCTCTGTGAGGCACCGATCAGTGCCATCACTGGCCTCCACCCGTGATTTGCGATTCTTTCTTTTGCCTCCTCCCTCTACCCAAGAGTTATGAATAACTGTCCCCCCACTAGGAGCTGGGTCCACTTGCAGAAGTGAAACGACCCTTTTCTTAACACGTGTTTTGAGTGCGCGGCGCAGTTTCTGCCTGGTGAAAGCATAGAGCAAAGGATGAAAGATGGTGGTTCCATAAGCCATCGCCAGGAAGCACAGACGGAGCCGCACCAGGCTGTCGCTCGGACCCATACACAGGATCAAAACATTGACCGCAGACAGAGGAGCCCAGCAGCCGAGGAATGTGGATATGATGATTAGGGACATTTTTAGGACGCGACGCTGACGTTCCCGACGGTCCCGGTGCCGCCGCACTGCTCGCCGCAAAGCGATGATGGCAGAAACTGAGGCCTGTACACCCATGGAGGAAGCTGGCAGTGGTGTGTTGGCGTGGGTCTGAGCTGAGGCTGAAGGTGGGGTTGGAGAAACTGGGGTTGCGGGTGTGGTTGCGATGGGGGTGGTCGCTGCAGTGCTGACAGTGGTGACTGTTGCTCCACTGTCAGACATCCCTTGGGGCATGGAGGAGAGTGGCGGGGGTGATGTCGGTGTAGGCGTGGGGGAGGGAATGAGGGAAGGATGACTGAGGTTCTGGTTCTGGTTGGAGGACACTACCTCTGTGGGCAGGCTTAAGTTCTTCTTCCTCTGCCTCCTGCAGCGTATCCTGCAGGTGGAGTCCTTTGCACGGGTACTCCTCATCATGTGAGAGCCGATGCGGATGTTGAGAGCCTGTAGGATCCTGGAGTAAGTGAACAACATAACTGCCACAGCGATAAAGAAGCAGGGCACCTGGAGGAGCAGGTGGTAATACATTGCCAAGCCTGTGTAATACCCCTGCCCTCCAACACAAAGCAATGTCCTGTTCTGCCATACTGGAGGCAGGTGTTGTGAAGGGGATGTCGGTGTAGTTGCGGGTAATAAGGAAGGGGACAGTGAGGAAAAAGTGGTGGTCTGTTCAGTGATGAGCTGAGAGTCATTGTTCTGCCTTTCCAGCTCCTCATGTTCACCATCCTCAGCCCTTGAAGAGAAGAAGTCCCCCTCAAGGAAGGGCAGGAAGAAAACGGCCAGAGACAAGGCCCACACAGTTGCCAGGAGTAGCGCAGCACGTCTGGGGGTCAGCAGACGACTGGCTGGACGCACTGAGATGTCATATCGGTCCAAGCTGATTACTAACACGTTGACTGCCGTAGCCACGCTAGTGAACGTCACACAGGCCTCATGGAAGCAGCAAAGTGTGGCCAGGCTGCTAACTCCATTTTCATTTGCTGGCAGCAGGATCACAGCCACAGTGAGTGGCAGACACAGCACGCACACCAGTATGTCGAGCACATGGAGGTTGACTGTGACCAGGTTGCTGACTGAGTCCACCAGGTTGGACTGAGCGCAGTACAGCACAAGAACGGTCAGGTTGCTGCTGAAGCCCAACACAAGCTCCAGAATCAGCACAGTGGTCAGAGACACCTGAAAGCCCAGAGGGTAGGGCGTGCTCCAGCCCTCCTCCACGCCCACCTCACTCCCTCCATCCAGCAGGCCTACCCCCTGGCCATCACTGGTCTCCAGGAGGTCACGATAGCCTTCGGTCTCCATTGACGCCGCGGCAGTCCTTTACACATAGCAACAGAGGCCGGCGTACCTGACCATGTTCCCTTCTCCTCTGGCTCAAAGGAGACAGCGATGGAGGAGATGTGGTTGTATCTAAGAAAAAAAGAAAGAAAAAGAGAGACAGAGGGTGATCAAGCAGTTCGGCAGTCAGTTTACTCAAAAATAACGCTGCACAACAAGTACAAGTCAAACTTGTCAAATTTCACAAGCGAGGGGAAGCTACTAGCTGAAGCTATGAGGGAGGTGAAAGTGATCTCGGCAGTCGAGCGGAATCGTGGGGTGCAGTTCAAACTGCTGCTGATGACCCACGATGTCTCGCTGGCCTCAACAGTGAAACAACAACATGCTTCATACAGACAGTGGAAACAATTCAGGGAGGATGTGGGGCAGGATGTATCTCGGGGTGTACGTGAAGGTCCGAATGAATTAAACAGAGACAAAGCATCTCTGAGCTGTATAGATTTTAACAATCGAGTGAAGATGTGTTTTTGTGATATACCTATAATCCACATAGTATGCAGAATTAAAAAGAAAAAAAGATTCCCTCATAAACATGAGTGGGTGAATGTTCGATTCATTCTTATGCAACATACATTATGTGGGTCAGAAAGCTGGCTGGATAAAGCATATACAGATAAACAGGAATAAACCAACACACCTGCACCGTCAAGATGTCAGTGACGTACTACGTGTTGTGTCTAACATCTACCTCTACGAGTACCCATTCCTAAGTGATTAACAACCCACCTTGTGAATTTACGACATACCCGTACAAATCCAATAAATGTCAAGCTTTGTTGTTAAATCATCTTTCTGTTTTTTTTGTTTTTTTCACAGGCTATATAAAATCTTCAGCTTCTACTTTCAGGAGCAGAGGTGGCAGGAGCATTGGTAGCAAGGACATTTGCAGTGCATGTCAACATTGCAGGCAGCCAACTGAGGGTGGCAGCAGTTAATAGTTCTCACAGGGAAATGTAACGAAGACGAATAGATCAATGATCCACAGACAGTGGCGCACAAACAATGCTATCAGAGAAAGACCAGCTCCCCTGGCATCCTCTCTCCACACCCCCTCTTTCTCCTTCTCCTTCCTACATCCTCCACATCCCTTTCTACTCTGTTGCCTTTCAGTTTGCTGGCTGACTGCTTTGCATGTACAGCATGTTATTCACGGCTGGTTGGACACTCTCCTGCATTAGAGGGAATCATACAAAGTGATTAGGTCAAGACAAGATGCCTTCATGATTTGCTTTAAGGAATTAAAGTATTCCCTCGAGTGTCTGTCTAAAGAAGAGCTACAGATCAGCGGCAGCGCTGACCCAAGCTTTCCTCTGCCACACTTTTTGTTCTCACCCTCTTGTTTGCCCTTTTCTCTTTGTTTTATTTCACAGTTTCCCTCCCATTTGTCATTTTGGAAAGCACCTGCAGGCAGAGCAGGTCTCAATGCGGAACAGTGGTCTATCTTAATTCGCTAATGGGTTTCATGGGGTTTGCGGTGGTGCTGGAACATTGATTTAAAGCATCATCGATCTGCCAATTTAACAAGCCTGAGGCAAGGGAGCACATAAACACACTTCCTGTCACACCCTCCCAAGTGTACCTGTGGTCTCATTTTGATTTTGAGTGGCCGGATAAAACAGTTATGAGTGACTGTGTTCAATTCCTGTGTTTTAACTACAGTTTAAGATGTTTTCTTTACTTTATCATTACTTAATTTTTATATTTTATTTTATTTTATTCCTTCCTGGTTAAATTTACCCTCTTTTATTTTTATATTTATTTCCTATCTTATTCATAGCCTTCTCTTTTTTTTCTTTAGGTCAAGAGCAGTTGTCCAAGCATTTCACTGCATATCGTACTGTGTATGACTGTGTATGTGACAAATAAAAATTTGAATTTGAATTTGAATTTGAATTTGAATTTGAATTTGAATTTGAATTTAATTTATTGCAAGGCAAAGTATCACGCACGGCTCAGGGGAACGAAAGTAAAATGTGGTGTTTCCCACTTTTATTATTGAAGTTTTTATGATTTTTATAATTTCTTTTTCAAAATCATAAAAACTGAATAAATTCACAGACCTCATCACAGGAGTGAAACTTTAAAACTAAGTGGGCTTAGGTCTTTTAATGTTATCGATATTGGTTATGTTTGTCTTTGATCAATATGGCGAACAACATGCTGTAACAGAGTGTCATGGCGTTAACACTCACTTAAACCAATCACAGTGGCAACATTGTCAGCATTGTGCTTTCCAGCACATGTGAGTGTTGTTTAACTGCTGTGGCAAATTAGGGTTGGGAAAGACTTTTAAATCAATAAATGGCTGACAAAAACTGAAAGGTGTAACACAACAGTCACCTGTCACCTAAACTGTATTTTTCACAGACATTGCGACAACAAAACAGAGAATAAAATTATCCACAAGTCAATCTCTTTCAGCAAACACCAGGTCATCATTTTTTACTCTTAACTGTCCTGCCAATAATTACAAGAAGATGACTGTGTAGCGGGCCGGCAAAGAGCAGACGGCATAGCTTTCAACAAGTGCAATTTATCCTTTTCTATGGCTAATGACTCCTGCGACAGAGGATACTTGGGATGAAGCCGTAAGAGTTACAAAGGGACAGAGGCAATAGAGTAGAAAACATCAAAGTTAGCATGTGTTTGCTCCCAGCAAGACAAAATGTCAGAAGGCCTTTATATGAGCAGCTGTGACTTCGACCTGCGGGCAGCAAAACTGACAATAACCTAGTTTTTTACAGGGACGTGGGGAGAATAAAATTAAAGAAGACAGACGGGTAAACTTTGGGGAGGTTTTATAAAAAATCACAGGTGTTTCTGTCCTTTTAGTGAGAACTTAAAACACTGAGGTTCATCTGAGGTTGCTCGTGCAAGTCGTTATCGTAGTAACTGAGGAAAGTTGCAAGAATGATCATCAATCAATTTATTATTTTAGTTCTAACAAGTGTTTTGTGTTATTGTGGCATCCTTTTTGCAATCAGTCACAGGGTGTGGGTGTTTGGATGTAAGAAAGTGGGTTGTTGGGTTGAGCGAGTTGTGGCAACAGAAGATGGCTGTAAACAAGGGGAAACTTTGCCAGCTGAAATTACATCAACAGTGTGATTGCCAATTTAGACAGGCGGGGGAACGACAGGAAAAACAAACTTAGAGGTACAAATTGTACAATTGCTTGAAAGTTTGAAAAAAGAGATGAAAGTAAAAGAAAGAAACAGATTTTTGGATTGATTGTAAACCCAACATTAACTGCTAGGATGTCTGTGTATTGTGTTGCATAGATGTCCACTGAAGTTAACCAGCTAGTGCCAGAACCATAAAAATAGCCAGCATGACATCACTCGAGCACACACGTAACTGTTAATAACAAGAAAAAAAAATGACATAAAATATTAAGAAGATAATAAATAAAATACAGATGTCTGATCACAAAACAATAGGTGAATGTTTTTTGCAATGTCCAAGGCTTGTTTACTTTTTATGTTTCATGTCTTCTTAAAAATCAATCATGTTATTCCTGAAAATTATGCCCGTTATTTAAGAAACGGCATCTGTGGATAAATTGTTTGGCCATAATAACAAAGATGTCGTACAGCAATTCCCTTTTCCTGTCCAGCATTTTAAGACCAAGTTTAATATCGTTAAATTCTAATATGGGTGCTTGATAGTATTTTTCAGAAAACCAATTTTGAAGTGTCATCCAAAAGGTTTGAGTGTAATTACAATCCAAAAACAGATCCTTTGAAGTTTCATTCTCTAAATCCCAAAAAGTACAGGTATTTCTGTCAATGTTGAATCTCTGTCTCAAAAATTAATTACAAAGATTAATGTCATTAATGAATTTAAAGTAAGTGGTAGACAGTTATACCAGATACCCTTCCTGGTTTATGTTTTCAGCTGGGCTTGAGCCAGCATCATTTTGATTAACAAAGCAAATGCGTAAGCCACTACTGAGCACAACAAAGTGGGCTCAGGCGACGTGGCCCGAGCCCATGGACTCAGAAGGACAGTGTTTACAGAGGAAGACAGAAAGCCATTTTCCTGTATAGAGCTAACAGTCTTCCTGAAACCACAGCTATCATCTTCTGGTGGTCTTCAGATCGAATGCAGGGTTAATGCACTTCTGCATTGGCTTAATGTTTGTGCTCCAGAAGCTACGTCAATGTTTTATAGAGTCTATGGTCTGAACATACCCTTGTAGAACACCACTTTGTACTTAAATATGGGACAGTAAGTCAAGTGTCCACTCTGCCCACGATCGAGGGAGGACAAGCGGTGCTGCCTAGAGATAAATTCTTTCCATTGTCTCTGATTTCAACCTTTTGGGCCATCGTTGTGGCGAGCAGGCAGTTGATAAATTAAACAGTAAATACAACAATGTTTGAGAACAGGGTTAAAGAGACAGGGCTGTCTGTCTCTGGTCTGTTTTTCCCTGCGCAACTCTCGTCACACTTATGCCTCCTTGCACACCACTTACCACATCCTCTCTCCCAGCCATCATAGTCAAGCCATCAGATCATGCTGTAGCACTGTCTGGCAACACAAACACCAGCTACCCCTGCATTAATGTGCCTTAGAATTAAAGTTTGGCTAAGAAACGTTTTTAAAAAGTATTCCTTCAGCCCTGAAACAAAGTATCCCACTTATTACATCTTTAAGGCATGTACAAAATTTTACATTGCAAAACGGCTTTGCCTTTAGTGCTAAACCAGGCAAATGAATCTGAGAGGCAATTTTAAAGTTTAATGCAGCAGCACTGTTCAATTCTGCTAAATTGGTTTGGGTAGCCCCATGGGTCTTCTCTTATCAATCACCAGCAGAATTTACAATCATGTACTGAAAGCGAAATACAATGACTGCTTGGTTCGGTGCGGAACCGAATGAGTAACTGTTTTTACTCAGGCTTTACAGATGTTTTCATCACATCTGGTCTCTCATTTACTGTAGCTTGTATGACTCTCTCCAAAACAACAAACTGTGTCCTAGATTTCACAGCTTCCTGGGCCCTGCTGTCGGGGTCGTTATAGGTGTTGGGCAGGAGATGACAAGCTGTCAAGCCTGTTCTCACATTATCA